TTATCTATTTATTTATTTATTTATATTTTTTGCAGTAATATATTGCTCTGATTGAATCCATAAATAAAAGAAGTGGCAAGCACAAGAAAGAAGAAGAGCAGAAGAAAAGTGATTCATGTACATTTAGTGAGTTTCGTATAAAATGTTTTATTATGCCCCTGATTATTGAGGCTGGTATTTAAAATATGATAGTTAATAGGACTTAGTTTAACATTGCCATGGATGAATCCTAGAACATCTAGTTTTAAAGAAAAAGAAAATCAATGAATTTTCAATTCTTTGGGATTATTTCATAGAAATTGGCAGATGAACTGAGATCTTATCTTATTCCAGCATTTTTTAAAACATAATTCCCATGACATTTAGCTTTTTGTCTCTGACATGAAAAATAAAAATGAAATTAATTTTTTGAGAAGGGCATTGACATCAATCATCCTATTTTCCCTGTGGTATTTTTGAAAAAAATGAAAACAATTGAACAAATTGAACAATTGAAAAAAATGACTACAGTACATGCACTGAATTTTTCAAAATCAACCTGAACAGGAAAGCCAATTATGCATTTCATCATATATTATTTTTATTTTTTATCCATCAAGTGAAATTTTCAAAAACAAAAATCCTTTAAGAAAAATGGTTAAAAATTGTCTAAAAATCATATTGTAATGTGGCACAAAATTATGCATTAAGAAGCCCCAAACTATCCACATTCTTTACTCTGTATGGGTGCAAATCTATGGTGGTTATTAAATATTTTTATGAATGTTACAGTTGATTTGACGAAACTTTGGCCGCTTTGTTTTCAAACCTCTTTTTCAAGTTCACAACTCGTTATGAAGGTCTTCAGAACTTCAAAGTTAAAATAATTAAAAATATTTCAAACTGATAATACTGTACAACTGAAGCTTCAGAAACTCATCAAATTTACTGTTCAAAGTCAATTTTCTAAATGAATTTTATGATTACAAATAGAAAGTTTGTAAAACTCTGTACATTGTTTAGAGGGAATTCCACAAATATTTGAATTCTAGACATACACAAGGCAATGTGCATTTAACACTGAAGTTTACACGTTCATACCAACCTAGGAATTTGCTAAGGAAATTCTGAATTGGAGCAGCCAAAACTTTGTTTAACCAGCTCTAATTTACAGTGTGTTATGTGTTTTTTAATCATTAAAACATGAACTGATGTTACACACAGCCACTTTTCAAGGTAAGTTTAGTATAATTTAAAACAGAATCTTATAAATGTACATTGTCAAACAGACCTGTTGAGCTAGAGACTCTGGGGTAAGCAATAATGCTGTACTGAACAGTAGATTTTTATATCTTTAGCTAGTAACTTGCTTTATTGATTAATTTATTGATCAAAGAGATCTATTGAAGAGACAACAGATCCATTGAACTGGAAACTATTTAAAGATCACCCTGTGACTGTTGAACCATATTGAAGAGACAACAGATATTTTGAACTAGGGATTATATGTTGAAGATTAGCCTGTAACCATTGAACCAGATTGAATGGATAACAGTTTTATTAAACTAGAGAGTAAGATATATTTAAGATTAGCCAGTATGTATTGAACCAGATGCAAATTCTACTAGGTAGCCTGTTTTGTGTTTTTCTTGTTTTTTTTTTTAAAAAAAAAGGGTTTTTAAAAAATGTCTGCAGGTAGTTGCTTGACCTTGATAAAACAATAGTCCTCTTCACAGTTCCCTGCACCATCTTGAAAGGTAGCTGTGTCTTTGCATGAAGGCGAGACAAACGGTGAGCTTGCAATGATAGGGGTATGTCAATAATTATCCAAGGTGTTAAAAAAGGTCTCTATCATTGCAAGCTCACCTTTCGTGTCTTTTCCATGCAGACATGGCTAACTTTCAAGATGGCACAGGGAACTGTGAAGTTGACTATTGTCTCAAATGAGTGAATTTAAATTTTACAAAGAAGGATTTTGATTGCTTAGAGCTATAAGATCGGTTAATTATTTTTATTAATTTATCTTGTTAATTATCACTGAAAGATTTTCCATTTGAAGCATCAGTTGCTCAATATTTGATAACACCTGAAAAAACATTTTGGATTGCTAAGTATTTTTCTTGTTTGTTATTATTATTAAAATATCAAATAAAAACATCAATATCAACTTAAAATAAAAACTGTTTTCTTCTTATATTTAGAAGCATTGGAACAAGTATCACTGACATCAGTGAGTGAAAAATAATTGCTAATATTAGTAAGAAAAAATTCATAATTTTACAGGATACTTGAGTCTTGGTTGCCCAAACCAGTTATAAGAACCGATGCATACCATTTTAAAAACTGGCCACGAGGACCAAAAGGTTCAATTTTATGGAAAGAGCCCTAGCATTACTTCGAGTGAATCAGAAGGAAACTTAATTAATGCGTAAAAAAGTTTATAAACATTCTGATGTTTCGACCTGGCATTAGACCTTCATTAGAGTAAAATAGGAACATTGTATCTAAGATTGCACAATTGTTAAAAAGCAAAAAAAAAAAAGGTATTTATTGTAAACAAACTACTAGGAAGTATAAAACTATTTATTATCATTATATTATTTATATAATTAACAGAGAAAAATGATATAAACAGATGTTGAACGCCAAAGTGGAAAAAAGATATTTACTAAATTGCTGAAAATTTACATTATTGAGAAATGCAAGTAAAAAATTTGAATAATTTTAAGCACAATGATGATGATTAGATGATACAATGACAGACTCAAAGATACTTAGTGCAATATTACATGATCTATAGAAACTATGAATATTTGTATATTTTAAAACAGTGGGGAACTTTAACACCAAGACACCTAATCCCTTCGATGTATGTAAGACTAAGGAAATACATGAAACAAAAATAAATATTTACTATATTCTGCTTTTTGAATACATACATTATAAAGTTACAAGGCAGAGTGTTTAGAACATGGTAATTTAGAGAACATTAGGGACAGTTCATCATTTATGAATTGGAGGATGGTCCATGTGGATTTTAAGAGAGGGAACAGTATTTTTCAAGCAACACGTCCTGCTATTTTCTTAAACTTGTGAATTCGCTACAGGTAGCTGTGAGCTGCTAAATCTAATCCATCAGTACCTTTCATAGTTTTGACAGGCAACAAAAAAACAAATTTCAGCATGTAGCCCGCAGCTAGTGAGTGCACATGTTTAAGGTGGCTCCATATACTTTCTGTTCGTGCGTGCCAGGTTGTGCATAAGCATGCGCAGTACCAGAACTTGAAGAAGTTTGATTTTAATGACGTCACGAAAAGTTGGTTGCATAAGTTATTTAAAAAAATAAAAACTCGAAAGCTATGTGGTCAAATATCTTTAAATTTCTACAGTTTTTTCTTCGTAGAATGATAAGGCAACTGAAGCAATATAAAAAGTATCTGGACTACAGAGAATTTGTTATCTTGAAAAATCGATATTCCTTTAATATCTTGGTTTTTGTATTCACGATTTTGATCAAACGCTGTCATATAATAGGTAACAAAGCAAACTTTCATATTACACAATCTAAAAAAGATTGACCATGGGAAACTCGAGATTTGAATCTTTTAATGGCAAAAAGGGCCCGTTTTTTGTGGCTGACGTGTCGCTGCTATGGTAACCATTCACGTGATCATTTTCACGAAAAATGATTCCAAAACCCTTAGTGTTTAATATGGTTAGCGTATCAGATATCAAGATATAGTTTTGTATTTGCTATGAAATAATTTCTAGTTCTATTACTCTAAAGCTCGAAACTATACGAAGCCACCTCAAGAAAATAATAGCAAAGCGATATATCAAATATACTTTTTGTGAACTAGCTACTGTACATACTTATGACCAGTAGTATTCTGCAATGTTGGAAGGCGATGAGGGGGAAGCCAAAAAATATTAGGTTCGTAAAGGAGGGGCCACCAAGAAGGTATTGTCCCGAAACTTATAACCCATGCACATAGTTCTCCAAAACAAACTATGAATAGCAAAAAGTAAAGCCTCCATGAATTCTGAATAAATATTTAACATTGTCTTGCTTTTGGGCCTAATATCTTTCCCTTTCAAACCTATTTTAATGAGCTTCCTTGGGTAAAATGTATACCAAAATAGGGGCCTGGTACCATAGATACTAACAATGTTAAAATCTAAAAATGAAAAGGATCATAAGATATGATATATTTTGTATCAATATACAAGTATTTTCTAATCGAAATGCTAATAATTCTCTTAGTTTTAATAACCAGTGTATTTTATACATAGATTTTTTATACAGTAGGAACCCATTTTAGACATGGGTACAGGAGTGGCAAATACATATAGCATAACGACACACCACCACGCCAAAAAGGTTTCTCTGTCTTTCAACCATCAGTAGGAACTTTATTTAAGAAAAATTCTTATGAAACATACCTATAAAATCTACTTACATTTAGCCACCTTTCGAATTACTTGCTCATTGCCTCAAAAATAAGTTAATTTTATTAATAGAACATTATTGAAGGCATTAAAAGTTTACAAACATTGTTTAGTTCCAGAAATTATCCATACCCCCTCCCCCTCCCTACAGAGGAATTAGGAAATTCAAGAACAAAATTACAGAGTTTGTATGGAAGAAAATTGACATTTCTGGGGGTAGGGGACGGTCTGGAAAAAAATTCCTCCATAGGGGAATGGTATGGATAATTTCTGGAAGTACTCATTGATAAAATAATGCTGAGTCAAAGAACTAAACAATTTTGAAGTAACTCGCCAGAAACTTGATCCCATGATTGGGTGGAATTGTTTTGGATGATAAAATGAAGCAAATTGATGGAAAAAAACAGTCTTCTAATGATGATTTCTATCGAGCGTTTTGTGAAATAAAGCTAATTGTTTTATTATTATTATGAAGACAATAATGACAAATATTAAAGATTAAAATTCTAATATAGCATAAGCTATAAGCCATCGTTATAAAATGAGGTAGTATAAAAATGTTAATTCAACAGTTAATTCAAAAGTTAATTCAACAGTTATTTTGCTCATATATAGATTATCACATGTTATGATTGATATCTTTCTTAATCTCGAGTTTCCATATCATATCAAACAAGAGAGTCTGGAAGTCTGGAGTC